TACCTCGCACTGTGCTGTGCTCATTTGTGGGGATTTAATTTGATTTTATTCTCCTTTTGTAAGTTTGTATTCTGACTATAGAGCAAATAAATATACATTTAAAAAATATTTTTTTTTGGCTTTTCAAATGGTCCAAGTTTTCGATATGATAAAATTATATCCAGTCATCCATGAGCCTGATGAGGAGTATTGTACCTTATTCTGAAAGTCCTTTTCTCAATGTGCCAAAAATTCTCAATCTGATCTGACCATTTTTTACTTTGAGGATGTTTGAATTCACAGGGTATGAAACCTACTTTGAGTTGTTTTTACTCGTGTTTGTTTTGGCAAGCCGACCGCTAACTTCCTTTGGGAGGGTAAAACTGATATGACCATGCAGGGATCCAACTGCACAGGATCACCCTGTTAGACACAATCTGATGTCCTTTTAAAAGGAGGACGCATCTAATCTGACAGCAGTGCAGCTTGCCTCCCTGCTGAGAGTTGAACCCTGGCCTCTGGAGGCTCATCATCTACAGTGTTGCCATTTGCCAGAGCAAAAATAGAAACACTGACAACATGGCATGAATAAATCAGCATTAACATCACTTTAATATTCACACATTTTCTAAAAATGTAGTTTTGAGTTTACACTACGGCAGGTTAACCAGGGTTATTTCTGCTCTCCACATTCCCCATTAACTATTTCAGTAACAAGGCAAAGAGACAGCTCCATGTCAAGACTGAAATTTCAGACAATTCCTTTATATCTTTTTATCTATTTTCAAATCTGTTTGGAAAGAAGTTAAACAGATTCCATTTGTTCAGCTTCAGATATATAACACACTTGTGCTTGCACCCAATTATTTATCATTTCTAGTTAAGATCCCATACTCAAATGTCATACATGTACATACAGTATATTGAATTTGTACATGTAAAATAAAAATATATATGTAAAATTTATAAATTATATATCAAAACTATTAGAAATTGGAACGATTTTATATATTCATATATATTTATGTATGTATGCTCATATTGCAGACATGTTACATAAATATGTATCCATCTCAAAGTCTATCAAAATATATTGATAATATATACAGTTGTTCTAAATTCATCACATACATATTTATAATATATGTACAGATACAAATTTTACTATGGGTATTTCATATATGTTATAAACTTCTATCAGTCGTGGTATAGGGACATGTATGTCATATTTCTGTATGGGATATAAAGGATCAGAACATTAAAAAATCACCATGCTTGCACCCAACAAAATCAGTAGTTCAGGCTGCCAACACCAACCTCAGAGAGGCAACAAACATTTCAGCGTGTATGCATAGTACAAATACAGTCTCCTGTGAGTGCACCACCTCAGCCTTCCTTACATATAGAATAGAGAAGTGCACTTCATTAATCTATGTTTTGACACCTGACATTCACTTGAACACCATCAATCCTCCTTAAAACGTTTTTCTTTTTTAGATTGTGACATATGATTAATGCTTCGTTTAAATGAAGAACCAGAGATCCACGGTGCACTGAGACATCATCTTGCAGCAGTAACTTACTGCATATTCAGATCAGTTTTACATTGTTTGTGTTTGTGTGATCAACAAAATTAATAAATAATATTAATTCACATAGTCACTGTTCATGTCATGTCACGCTCTCCAAGCAGCACATGAGTGCAACCTCTGGTAAAGGGATGAGTTCTGTATCTGTAGGGGGTTTATGTCTTTTTTGAAAAATTCAAAGGACCTGGTGTGAGACATCAATGGTCATTGATGTGGATTGTAGATGATAAATGTTTCATACTTGGTGTGAAACTGTGTTCAGATTGCCAGGTTTGACAATAACAGGCATTTCATTGAATATTTTCATTGGACCGTAAAGTTTTGATAATTTTTTTTTGTGTTGTGGATGCTTATATTTACATGTATTTAATATAAATTCTTGTGTATTTACAAAACACATTGAAGGGCATTGTTTGCAGGGCACATGTTTTAATGATCTTGCCTTGGGCGCTAACAATCTGAGATACACCAGTGACCGTGCTGCACATATCAACAGGGAGAGTTATAAAGAATAATTAGCTCCTTGGAGATGTGATATACAGATATGTTCCTGACCCATTTTAATGGCTATCTCAGCTCAGAATCTTAAATACTGATACTCATTTCTGAGTATCATTTTTCTGTATTAGAGTGTCTCACCTATTTCCTGACCACCCAAGTGTGTGCACACAAAGCAAACTGTGTATGTGAATGTGGGAGGTTTCTCAGGCCTCCCGCTCATTCTGTCGAGACAGCGTCTGGTATTTGGCCCTGCAGGTGAAGCCAGGTGACCACTGGAGCATCCATATCAACAAAAGCCTGGGTAGAACACATCGCACCAGACAGGACAATGTGCTTTATCAGGACTCAATCGTGAATATGCTCACTTGCACTGGACTGCCTTCTACTTACTCCAGTATTTCTAAATGATGAAATTCCAGTCTGAATACCTGGATACTAGGCACCCAACCAGAAAAAAGGGAGGGAGGAACTGGGGCTAAACAAACAAAAAAAAAGCTATTCAAGCCCTGGAAACTCAGGTTTGACAGTTTCCAAAACGCATTCCTGAAAATGCACATCACAGCACAGCACAAGATGCAGTATTAAATACTTCATACATATGAAATAAAGAAAAGAACTTGAGGGGAAAAGCAGAAACAGAAAAAGGCAAGAAAAGCCTGTGTCATATCAAGGTATATTAAAACCTTTTCTGCCTGCTGTCTTTCCTTTCCTTCTCTTTTTAATAATAGACGTCTTTCTAGTCGCTAACAACACTCCACATCGAGATGCTCTGCTGAGTGTGTGTGTCTGTGTGGGCCCTCTATAATAGGTGTCTGTGTAATTGGTTGGTTGATGGGCTGATCACTAACAGGCATGAGATGAGCAGCTCAGGGGAGGAGACATCCAACCTCACTCTCCTTCTGTTGCCATGTCACCATGACAAACAGGATGGATACTTTACAATCCAAAATTAAGATCAGTGTAAATTAGTCTTTAATTTTGTAACATGCCACTATAAATCAGATGCGTGAATTGCAAGTGAAACTGAAATACCGGCATATTGTTTTTGCTACTCTCCTTATTACAATAACAACAAAAGCAAAAGATTGTTTTAGAGGAGAGAGGACTTTAATATCTAGAGGACACTGAAATTATCTCTTTTTAAGGATTTACTTTGTGATTTTATCATACTGCCTAACAGCATCCCATTTCGTAAAATATCCTTCCAGCTCATTGTGATGTTTTGAAAATCAATCATTCATTTTCATTTCATTAATTCCTTCACCACCAACTGCCACCTCACAGGGAATAAGACCATTATTCTGAGACACTCAAATGCTATGACTCGCAGATTTTATTTCAGGGTTTGTATAAGTGCATTAGTCTTAGCTGTTTCACAAGCACATAGTTTGGTTTTCAGAACTGAATGCCATTTTAAAAGGGAGTATAGTCGCATCACGACATATCCACCAAACAGCATATGTTCTTTCTGATTTGTTCAAACTCCATAAAACAGCCATTTTTGACAGCCCATATGGTGAACAGGAAGAAGAATAGCAATTTGACAAAGAATAGCCTAAAGTCATAGGAAACACAGTGTGAGCAAAACAAAGAACGTGACATGTTGCAAAAACTCTCCCATTGTTGTCACGATGACGTGACAGATTCACTGAAAAACTCTTTTAAAGGAAACTTCACCACAGGTCAGAGATGCCTGTATACTAGGCAGAGTGAACAATAGATGTGAGGAGCAAATGATATCCAAGTATACAGGTTGTCTCACCACTTCTAATCTGATTCTATCAAATCATTGACAGGCCCAGTGCTGATACACCCTGATCCCAGAAAACTGCTTGGCATTTTTAACGTGTTGCATTAAATCAGCTCTGTTCCTCACCCTGTGCCCTAACCTCTTTGTAAGGACGGCAGGAGAACAGAATGATTTCCCTCTCAGGAACCAGTCAGACTAGTGCGGACTAGAGAGACCAATACATAAGAACTGATGAAGCCGCTTGGATAAGAGGCGAAACGTCTTCCACAGACAAATACAAGTCCAGTTGCTTTCGATTTAATTTGAGAGAGAGGTAACTATGACCTGGACGAATGAGAACATTCACAGACATACTCAGGAACCAGTGCTTTTGCAAAAGGAATAACTGTAGTAACTACAAGATGTTATGTTTTTTGAAAATAATAATTCTAATTCTAAACATTCTGTGTGCATGCTAGTACCAGAGCTTCTTACTAGGATTTTACAGGGTGACTGTTGTTAAGATTGTACCAGATGATTGTTAGTCCATTAGTAACTGCCGGCAATGAAATTTGGGGTACTTGCTCAGTGGTTGTTTGGTGTTTATTCACTAGTTGCTAAGCTAGGATGTTGCTGACCGTCTGTACATGTGGCTTTCAATGGAAAGTTTGAGCCTTAGCTGGCTCTGAGCTTTTGTCCAGTACATACAGATTTTTCTGCACTTGACTCGATGTATGTTGAACTGCATAAAGTTTGCGATGTTGCAGCCAAAATAATGTAATACAGCTGTTGAGAGAATAATGGTACACGGCTTCTTCTCATGCAATGATTCAACTGCTAGCAAACAAAAAAGAGCCTAAACCGCACAGGGGAAGCATTTAGCAGCAGTTATAAAAATTGCTGGTGAATAAAGTGGTTGACAATTTTGAATTCTTCTGAAAAAACACATCTTCTTTTCTAATTTTGCAACATTTATAACATGACATGAAGCCTGAGACAAATATTTTGATACTAACATACATATACTAGGCCTCAGAAAGGGAGGAATAACAGGCTGAGTATGAGAGAGAGTTATCATGTGCATTCCCCAGCAAGCTCACCAACAAAGAACAATTCTAATCTAAACTGTCGCAGATTTTATAAGGTCGATCAAAGTGAGACAGTGTGTGAGACAGCGAGTGGAAGATAGACTGAAGTGATACCTTAAGTCCTCCACACTCTGCTGCTGATCCCTGGTCCACTCCGGTGATGTAAATACCCAAAGCATATTCTGCTCCCCCCCGGATCATTAGACCAAGAGACCGGCCGTCGTCCAGAACCAAGTTGACCTGTTAAAGACAGACAGAGAAAGCAGGGGGTTAAATATCTGAAATAGTGTGAACCAGGCGCTCCTTAAATATCAGCATTTTAAAACGGTGTTTGCAGTCTCAATTGTGCTGCTTGACAGGCTGCCAGATTTTCCTGCGGTGTCGATCTGTTCACAGTGAAATGGAAATGTGAAACACAATGCACGGAGAAAATGACAGCCCTGCTCTGAGCCGGGATTTGTCGGCTGAAAATAAAGAATTTCAGGAGCTACTTAGATGTGGTTACTCAGAGCCAGTAATGAGGCGGCTGAATCCATTTTGACTGGAGGAATGACTGTCTGAATCGGTCAATTAGTTTGTTTACAAGGCTCATCTTAAATCTGAAGAATCTAATACCTTTATCTATGTTGACATTTGTGTTATAGCTGAAACCGTCATTTCAACATGATTAACAGAAACCTAAACAATATGGCAACATTCGAAAGAGAGCTCAAGGTTCAGAGTGAACACTGCATTATTTAACTGAGTGAAAGAAGTTGTAATGGCATCTATCTTTCCCTTCTCTAGAGGACAAACAGCTTTGGGATGAATGTTCAGAGGCTGAGATTCCAAGTGTGGCAAGCAACCACTAACACTTTATTTTCACAATTTATAAAACATATGTTTCAGTTCTTCTCACCTCAACAAGGACTCAGTGATGAGGAAGAAGTCATTTTTTGATCAGATTAAAGGGTGAAGAGATTATAACCAAACCCACATAGATTAATGACGAGGTCCACTCCCACTCTTCTGCCTTCTGCACAAATCATACACAACTTTCACAAAGTAAAATATGACTCATTTCACAGTAAAGTGGACCCGACACATCCCTCTGAGAATCCCTCTAACAAGGAACCGGAGCAGCATTTGACATACAGAGGGGGAAATGACCTTGACTAAAAGCATCAATAAAGAATAAAGACTTTTAGGGTCCGCGAGACGTGTTATTGCTCAACATAAAGTCAGCCTGCAGTTACTTCTCTCTAAAGGGGAACCTGAACATTTCTAACAGCTGCTGAAATCCAGCCTCATATCCACAAATCCACAAGCCATCATTCTTAGCTGGAACTGTGTCTTCATGCAACTTGTATATAGAGTTTTTGCCTGATTTGCTGTGATCAAGCCAGTTTTGCCAAATGTAAAATCTTCAGATAATGACAGATGACTGCTCCACATATGTACAGTGGAGCAGCTGTAGATACAGTATGAACCTCCCCTCCATGACTTAATGGAAGACTTGGGTCTTATATGTCTGTTCTGGAGGCTACAGTTTGATGAAGGGTTCATTTGTCTGAAAAACAGCTATCAGTATTTTAACCCACTGGCAGGTATAATCTGCTCATCTTTGTTTGGTGCCTCTGGGTCATATCATCAACGGTGTCCCTTTACTCTGCAGCTATTTGCTTTGGTCACGGAGCCTTTAGCTCCCTATTCCAGTAATCTATTAATGTCAGAGCCCTCATTGTTCATGACACATGCTGGTGATTCCCAAATCTACTTACTTTACTTACTTACGCCATCATATTTTAAGATTTTCCAATGCTTTATCTTGGAGGCCTAAAGCATACTGTGGTTCTCAAAGACATGAACAGGTTGTCAAAAGGAAGTTATTACACAGGGCTCATTTAATAAAACGGCTCCACTGTCTTTCACTAATGGCAACTTGTATGAACTCAACAATTCAAAAAATATGTACATTTGGAAAGCAAAGAGACCACATTAAAGTTTGCATTGTCCACTGGGAGAGGTTCAGCAGTGTGCCAAAATTGAAATTGTACTTTTCCTCCATCACAATGAGGCCCTTCATTACTCGGTTTGATCTAATGCAGCGGTCTCTTGCCAAAATTGAAAAGGGGCATCAGTTGCACCCTGGCAGCTACAAGATGACACATGCAAATATCTCTATGAAATAATGTCTGTTTTTTATTTTCCTGCTGCTGCAGGATTGGCATCTGGCGCAGAAATCTAACTTTCATTTGGTGCATATGGTGCTGCGGTCCTTTAATAACTGTCTGCTTACTGGAGGTGAGCCAGTATTCAGTGGGAATATCGAGGCATTCGTGTTCTCTTTGACATTTATGCACGACATGGAGAATACTTTTAATTACCAGACTCATCCTTCTTTTATTGGCAGAAACAAAGCAGCTCTTAAGGCTCATAGTGTTCCCTGGCATCAGCTGTTATCATGGAATCAATTCAATATAACATGATCTTTCTCTCTAAGAGGAGTCTCAGAGTCTGTTTTGTAAGCAACTGAATCTGAGGCAGAATTCATTGGGACTTTGTTTGGGATTGCACTTAACCACAGACAAGATTCTTCAATTATATTGTGCATGTTATAAAGACTGAAATCAGCACTGCGTGTGTGAACAGCTAATGACATGATAGCCAGGAGCAACACCTGTAACTACAATGATAGTCACTGCATGCCGAAGAGGCGACTGTGGTAGCTTTGGACAGTGTTTCTAGGAATCAAAGCACCAAAGGCATAAATTTCATGTCAGCCTCTTACTACCTGACATGACAGGACTTTGAATACTTTTGTTACTGATGTGAAGCACCTCATGGGACGGGTTCTACACATTCACAAACGAATGCCAGTGAGCAGACTGCCAATTCTCCAAAGGCTGCTCTGTCATTGTCAGGCCAGTTTGACACATGCCAGCCAACATCAGCTGCAGTATAGGGAAGCAATAGCAGCAGCAGTTTTGACCTTCATGTTGCTGTGTATCAAAGACACTGAAAACCTGAAAACGACACGTAGTTTCCTTTCATATGCAGACACACATCAGACAAGACTAGCTTTACCTCTTTTTATTCCGAATGACACATTTATTCAAGGAACCTAAATATCAGAAATGGATATTAATTTCTTTTTGAATAGGAGTAAAGAAGCTACAATAGACAAACTATCTGCAGGATTAATATTTTTGAAACATTATCTGCATGGCATTAACTATAGCCTGTATTAACGTAGCTGAAGCACTCAAGATTAATGTGAAGCTTTCAGCTGCTGAAAAATTGAAAGTTCTAGTGTAATAAATCTTTTAAACAGCTCTGACAGCTCCTTCCCTGAGAGTCCTGAGGTGCTGAGAGGGTGGAGTTCTGCAGGAGTTAAGGTCCAATTACTGTTATGTTTGTTTCTGATCTATTTATTTTGTCTATTAGTGCTACTACTATTTTAATTTACTCCTAATTTACTCCTTACTTCTTTACTTCTGTTTTTTTCTCCTGGGGAAATGAAGAGTGTCTGCCATTGTGCAACCAAAACTGAAAGAAAATAGAGCTTTTGTTTTCCCAGATAGCTGTCCATGGTGTTCCTCAGGCAGCAGAAATGGCGGTTGGTGGAACCCAGAGTAACTGTGGAAACTCTACTTGGCAGAGAAACATCAACACAGCACACTGTAATGCTCACCCTGAACAACAGGCACATAGGGCCAGTAAAGAGACTGGCTTGGCCGTTAAAAACTTTATGGATTTTTTACAGTCCACTGATGTGACAGCCAACCTGGGTAGTCTCAATGGTCAGTCCAGGAGAGCTCCAGGATCTGAGAGGGTACAAAACTGACATTCAGTTAGCATTACTTCTACTAGACCAGTAACCTGCCTATTCATTAATACAGCCGGCAGTTTGCCTTTATCATAGCACTGAGGTCGGGGTTTCTAGTTCAATTTGGGATTATGGTTGTTTGTTGGTTCGGACAGTAGCCAGCCTGACAGCAGTGTGATACAGCAGTATGTGTGTGTGTGTGTGTGTGTGTGTGTGTGTCTCAAATAAAGAGGAAATGGTTTTGTTGGATAGTTTGTGGGAAAACGCAAGTTTACACAACAACCAGTGTTTTTCCAGAATAAAAATGACCATGTCAGATGAGGATATGGTGGCCCTGAGAGCTCAATTCACTGCAGAAAACATCTTCATCAATTTGACAAAAAATGCGCTGCAAATACTTGTTGTTTAATGCTTTTAACTTTAAAGACCATGATGCCTGTTACAGTATTAACATTTAGTCTGTGCCTTTAGAGGAAGTTGGGCATCATTTCTTAGAATAATTGTTATTTGTGATGTATTGATGAAACACTTTTAGACCCTGTTGCTTACTTTATTGCTGCTTAATTTAGCTTGCCGTTTTTATATTCATGAATATTTCATTTGCAAGTGATTTGATGGTAGTAACAGCAATGTTAAAAGTGCCTAATGGGTACAAACGAGGGAGTACAAGGGAGTGCAAATGTTTTGAATGAATTTATGTCATGGCCACCTATAAAGGAATTTCAATTATGAATCATCTTACACAATTCTCTGGACATGTTATTCAACTTTTGAATATTTTACTTCTCCCCTGATAATATTATTCTTTTGAAGATAAAAAAAAGTAGGCATTGAAAACACTGATCCTTTGTTTTGCTTTCCACGTAAAGTCTCACCTTCTTCTCATCTCCCTCCTGCAGTAGCTGCATGTTGCTGCGCCGCTGGCTGTCACTTCTCCTCAGGGTCGCGCTGCGATGCTCAGGCAGGTCGGGAGGAGGGGATACACTCCGACCCTGAGGGTCGACCCAGGTATAAACATGGTTGGTGACATAGCCGCCAGGAATTCGCCCGACTGAACGCACAGAGAGACAAAGCTTTTTACTGCCCTTCAGCACCTGAGGAGCGGAGAGGAGAGGAGAGGAGAGGAGAGGAGAGGAGAGGAGAGAAAATTTGTATTTCCCAGAACAGCATACATGAGTTCAGGTTTAAAGAGCAAAGAGTACACATGAATCCACAATTCAATCAATTGAATTTGATTTTATAAGACCATAACATACTCCCCCATACATACATGTATGGGCACAAACACAGAGGTTAAAGCAATGAATATTAAAGACACACAACACTAAAACAAGCTGAGAGGGATATTTGGCAGAAAATTAAAGATTACAGAGAAGCAACCAATTTTTCAGTGCTTCTCCATCACTCCCCAAAAAAACCCAAATGACCTATCACTCTCTCACACACACACACACACACACACACACACACACACACACACACATTTTGAACACATTTCTAGTGAAAATTGCTGTTGGCTTTGCTTCATTGCCTTCTGATCGCTGGGTATATGTGCAATCCCTCTGCAGATCAATGTATTCCCGGAGGTCTGGAGAAATCAAACTGAATGGAGTTGATCAAACAATCCTTGTGCACCAACAACACAGACAGGACCTCTGCTTTCATCTCTGAAAATGATCAGTTGCAATGTTGCTGATTTTAAAAGTGACATTACTAAAAGACTCATTTCATAGGTCTTAAAGTTTCAGTTTATGAGTTTGAAAAGAACAGGAAGGTCTCAGTACTGAAAGGTTTCATATCATTGTGTGTTAAAGACTATAGGCTATCAAATGCATCAAAGATCATAGTTATAACTGGGTGAGTAGTAGGGCTGAAAAATTAATCGAAATATGAGCATACATATATATATATACCCCCCAGCCCATGAATCATATTCTCCAGACGTAAGGGAACAGGCTTTGTTGGTACACGACCCAACATACCCTGGCTGGGTGAAAAACCTTCATTTCTGAAGCAATGAAGGTTTACTTCAGGATTTCATCATCATACATGCTGTAGTACTGCAGTGATGACACGTCAGACATCACAGCCTGATTAAACAAAGGGGACTACATCATCTGCAAATAGGTGAGACGTTAGCTGACCATCACCAAAATCAGGACTCTTTAGAGCTCAGGGCTGTTTGGTAAACTGTATATGAGTGACAATCAAACAAGAGGGGAGACTATGTCCACCGTTAGCAGATTACTGCTGTGTCAAATCAAATCTAAAATGTGTGTTTTTTGATTGTAAGTGACACACTATACTAGCTGGAACAAAAAGCAATTTATCCTAAATAGAAATGTTCTCTGTCTCTCTCCATCAGGATCTATATTCTTTCTTTTGTTTTGAGTTGTGCGAGATGAATCAGTGTTACCATTGAGACTAACTTTAACTTGTCTCTGCCCTGTTGCAAATGCATTGTTCAGCTGTTTGTGTCTGCTGTGTAATGTCCCCTATGTGATGTTGTTTCATCCACCTACATTTATATCAAAGCCCCCATTCCTTATCTTTTTAAAGAGCATAATGCCCATTCCAATCTGTAATCTGTTATTACTTTTATGCTTATGTTTTTTTTTAGCATTTTTATTTATTCAATAAAGAAAGTGCCAAAAATGCTGACTCTTCTGAGTGAGGCTGGTGAAAAACCTTCCCAAAGTAGCTGTGTGTGTAAAATCAAAGTAAGCACAGCAACTAAATTCAGTATCCCTCCATTCTCTCCTTCAGTGAACCACAAATAAAGATAACCCATCAGTCTTCTGTCCTGTGGATTTCAGAGAAGGCACATCTCCATGAGAACAAAGACCCAGCTGAATCAATTACACAATCCTGATCATGATTTCAACTGTGACGAAACAAATTCCTGGACTGACGGACCAAAATATCTGTCATCACCCGCTCCCTCTCCCATCTCCTCCACTCTGTATGGCAGCATAAATACACAATTTAAGATATATGAATACAGCAGAAGAGTTCACCGACACATGAGCGGGTGCACCACTGGTCGCCTTTACTCACAGACAGAGAAGAAAAAACACTTACAAACAAAGAGGCACATGAAACCACAAACAGCGTGAAGTCAAAAAGTATAACTACCTGTCTTTTTGATTTTAATTACTATGTCAAAATTTTGACAGTGTTGAAGATGAAAGCCATCTCCAACATATATGACAAGTGACATATCCATCTGAGGCACCAGTCATCAGCTGGGGGTCCTGGGAAGAGCAATCAAGACTGCACTCTTTGCAGAATGAACATGCTGCACATGTAGCAGAAAGAGGGTGGAGACAGCTCAAGGAAGAGTGCAGAATACAAAAGTTAAAGTGCTAAATATTTTAACAGCTCAGCTGGTAGTCTGACACCCATCAACGCTTGATTTCCTGTTACTAGCAAATGGTAACGTGTATTGATTTATTGTACAATAACTGCAAAAACTGCATAATCTGAAGTATGTGGGACATATTGTACATTATTATTATGGAACTGGGACACAGCATATTACACAGCCACAGTTTCTGTCTTAGACACTTTGCCAACCAACTAAGTGTTGGTCTGAGAAATTTAACTGCATTTAGAGGAAATGGAGGCATACAGAAGGAAAAATGAGAAGTGTTTAGATGCAATGAGAAGCAGCAGTTCCAGGAGTTAGGGCAACATGACACTGAAGGAGAAAAAGGAAAGATGGAGGGTAATGGAGGCAGCGGAGGGAGGGCAGCAGGTTTAACAGGCTGCTCCGTCCTGTGAATAAGAAACAGTGGTAATTGACGAAGCAGCCGTGGTACAGTGGTCCTTAATGCATTGTCCCTGGAGGAAAGTGCTGATTGTGACACTGGGCTGGTTAAGCTATAGGCCCGGCTTGTAATCAGAACAAACTGTGCTGGGAAAATATTGGAATATACAGCAAAGCATAATGGGAAATGGCAATGGCAGGTAAGCTGCTTTCAGACGAGGCTGCGGAAAAAACAATACGCTCTCATGAGAGCCTAAGCAATCCATTTCATGCACAAAAAGCTGACTGCACAAAGCCCGGCTGTAGAGGCCATCCAATTCCATCACTTAGAAATGCATGGTCATATACTGGAGGAGGTTTAAAGGTAGCCGGTGTCAGGAAAATTATAGCGTAAGAGGAGACTTGACATGAGGCATGAAGGATTAAACCATAAAGCCTGTTTATGTAAACAGTCTCTATTAAATTGACCCGATAGTTATGCAAACTTTTCAATAGGAGGAGAGAAGTCTCCAAAAGTGCAGTAAATAGAAATCATTAGCTGTAAATAGAAAATCATTGGCTGTAAAAAATTTTTTTTTTAAAGTAAATAGAAATCATTAGCTGATTTCATGTGTTAATATGCGAATGTATGACATGACCATTGACAACTGTTTATTATCAAAATGTGTGCTGTAAAATTAGATTACAAAGGCCGTATAAAAATTCTAACAAGTTGATAATTTGCACATTTACAAGTCTGAATAGGTTTTCATCAGTTAACAGTTGGATGGAATTAATCAATTGATAGAATTAATTAATGGATAGAGAGTGTTTATTGTCCCACAAGGAGATTTGTTTTCACAGCCAGTACAAAGAAACATATGGATACACACAACACATGGATATGCACTTATACACTCTCCTCAAGCTCCATCAGATTGGATGGGAAGTGTTTGTAAACTGCCGTCTTCAGGTCTCCCCACAGATCTTCTATGAGGTTTAAGTCTGGACTTTGGCTGGGACACTCAAGACAGTCAGAGACTTGTCCTGAAGCAACTCAAGCGTTGTCTTGGTTGTATGGTTCAGATCATTGATGCGGTCTCAGGTCGCGTGCACTCTGGACCAGGTTTTCTTCAAGGACCTCTCCGTATTTGGCGTATTTGGCTGCATTCATCGTTCCCTCAATTCTGACCAGTCTCCCTGTCCCTGCAGCCAAGAAGCCCCCGCACAGCAGGATACTGCCACCACCACCGTAGGGATGGCATTAGCCAGATGATGAACAGTGGCTGGTGTTCAACAGGTACATTGTTTGGAGCTCTGCCCAAAAGATTCACTTTTTGTCTCATCAGACCAGAGAGTCCCTTTTCTTGTGCTCTCAGAGTCCTTTAAATGTTGTTTGGCAAACTCCAAGCAGACTGTCATACAACTGTTACTCTAAGTGGCTTCCTTCTAGCCACTCTGCCTGATTGATGGAGTGCTGCTGAGATGGTTGTCTTTCCGGCAGGTTCTCTCATCTCTACAGAGGACTACTGAGGCGCTGTTAGAGCAAATGCTGGGTTATAAGTCACCTCCCTGACCGAGGCTGGTCACTTAATTTCTAGCAAGAATCCTAGTGGTTTTTCACCACTGCGCTCCTGGTAGTCTAGGAAGTCTAGGACCACATTCCCATACAGACACACACAGCAGCAGAGTCACCAGGAGGTAGTTGGGGTGGACGGCAGACATACAAAATGACTGTTACACCAGGGTTTGCATCCACAGTCTTGTCTGTGGTCTAGGCAACAAAAGCACTTTTGAAGCCACAAGCCATTGTGAACTTTTTCTGTGTTAAACCAGACCATGATCTTTCCTTAACCTTAACCAGGGGTCACGAGTTTCCAAACAAAACCATAAAAATGTTTAATAATGGTGGATATTGTACTGCAAGATCAGGAATTTGGGGTGAAATAAAAATACAATGTCTAAGAACTTATTTGTGACTTGCCAAATATATAGATTATTAACATAATGAGGATATGTTGACAAAAACATAATCCACTAACAATGACATTTCCTACAAAATATACTTGCTGTTGCACTTTAGTTGTACATCAACTAAATTAATCATTTCTAGGAGACAGGGTTGGATTCCAACACTGTGTCTTATTTATTACAGCTAAAGTAACTAAACCTCTCGTGAAAGTAAATGATGTGTGTAGGCTGCTGTACAAACTGCGAATGAGTTACTGTAATTTTGTCTGACAACAACAATAATAACTAAGACATTAAATTATGTAACAACAGGGAATCAAGTTAAATAGTCTCAATTTCAGAGCAGGACCACACAAACAATGGGGATAACTGGAT